TTCTACGTTAGTCGATTCACTTATAGAAAATTAAAATATTGAATTCATTTTAATTTAACCAAATTGTAGTTACTTAAAGTCGTTATTAGATTGATCATTAGTGCTTAATTGAGAAATAAAAGAAGGTCCGTGGCTACGCTTTACTGTAGATTTAGCTAACATATCCAAAATCCATCTTAAGTATTTGAGAAATTAAAATTAGAATTAATTTTGACAAAACTGAAATTATTTGAAAACCTTAAAATTTAGGTATCAAAAACCTAATTCATTTTTTTTTGATCCAGAATGCTAAAATCCGGGTTCCATTTAAAAAATAAAACTTTGGTGATATTAACCCTTTTAGGAGTGCTATAAATGATTAAGAAATGTGTTATAGCAACCCCATAAACTAATTTTTATTTATGATTTTTTTTAACGAAAATTAAATTAACAAAATTGAAAAATATATATATCTAATAGATAGAATTGGAAACAGCTTCTAGTTCTAAACCGTTTTTCATTTTGTGGTACCATCTAGCAGTGCCACAAATAAATTTTTATAACGATATATTTTAAACCAATCAGTGCATATGGTAGCTGTAAACGACCATATTCGCTTTATTTTTATGTTGTTCATATTTATGTAATTGATATTACCGAAAAACGTTAAAATTATAATTAAAACTTTAGAAATTTGTATTAAAACATTGAACTATATTCGTTACTATAAATCTATAAATTTTGAGAAATTTACTATCATCAATGGTACGTATAAAATCAGAAAACAAAGGGACTACCAAAATAAAACAATTCAAATCTCTACCATTCAAAACTATGAAAGTCTAAAAAGGCCATATTTTCTAACTTTTGCTATGAAAATTTCGCTTAAATTTTCGATAGTTTGCTTTCTCCGTTTACATCTTAAAAACAATTAACATCAGATGAAAATGGTATATACCAATTTTGTTAATAAATTAAAATTGTTCTATTTATAAAACTTCTGGATTCCTCCTGCGTCGGTTGCTGTTGAGTCGAACTTGCTCACATTTCGCCAATCGTCCGGTTCACTTCTTCGGAGCATCCTTTTCTGTGCTGCTTATAACGGGTGATTCAATAAGAGTTTCCACATTACAATCTGAAATATTTTTGAAACGCCACTGTATTTGTTTATTATCATATGAGATTTCTAACCTCAAAACATAAACAAAATTAGTCATGGAGCAATATACGACTGAACAACGTGTAAAAATTTTGCAAACCTATTATGAAAATGGCCGATCAAGAAAAAATGCATTTCGGGCTCTACGTAACTTTTTCGGCGAGCAAAATCGACCTTCTGACAGGACAATTTGGAATGTGGCTCAAAAATTTGAGCAAACTGGATCTGTAACTAACCTCAAAGTCCCTCAACGTGCTCGTGGAGGTCGGTCAGATCAAAATATTGCCATTGTTCGCGAAAGTGTAGCCGAAGATCCAAACACATCGATTCCTCATCGATCGCAGCAAGTGGGCCTTACGTGTTTAACCACACAACGAATTTTAACAAAAGACTTGCATCTACACCCATATAAAGTCCAAATAACTCAGGAGTTGAAACCTCGAGATCATCAACAGCGCCGCGTGTTTGCAGAATGGATACGAGAACAAGGAGTTCATTTTTCAACGGAAAAGATCTTTAGCGATAAGACACATTTTCACGTTGGTGGCTTTGTAAACAAACACAATGCTCGTATTTGGGGATTAGAAAATCCAAGAGAGATTGTTCAAAAAGCAATGCATCCTCAAAAAGTGACTGTTTGGTGCACATTTTGGTGCGGAGGAATAATGGGCCCATTTTTTTCGAGGATAATGCGGAGAACGCTGTTATGGTGTTCGCTATCGAAACATGATATCTGATTTTTTCTGGGAGCAGTTGGAAGGTATGGACATTGAATATTTGTGGTTCCAACAGGATGGATCGGATTATCTCACGTAACGGCGATATCAAATGGTCGCCGCGATCATGTGATTTTACTCACCAAACACTATTCCAGAGCTGAAACAGGAGATTAGACGCGAAATAGCCGGCATAGAACCTGAATTGTGTCAAAAAGTGATAGGAAATTTCAATAAACGAATTACGTCATGCCACGTGAGTCGCGGGGGTCATTTAAATAACATTATCTTTCATACCTAATTGTAATACACAAATCTAAAATAGCAAATAAAAATGTTTGTATATTTTTATATTCCTCCGAGTTTTTTTATTATTTTAATGTGGAAACCTTTATTGAATCACCCTTTATATTGTTTGAGAGTGCCAGAGCTATATAAGAAGCATAAACATCGTCTCAGGTAAAGACCTGAGCCGCGGTTAAGGTTGTTTGGTTGATTATAGATTTCTATAGATTCTAGGATTTTTCGTTGGTAAAAGAAATGATTACCAGCAAGAATTTTAGTTTTATAGAATAAAATTTTATTTCCGGTTTCGCGATTGTGTTCGACAACTGCTGATGAGTTTATTTGTCTTAGTCTTAAGGCTCGTTCATGTTCTTTGAGTCTAGCTGATATTTTTCGTCCGGTCTCTCTAATGTATTCTTTGCCGCATATGCATAGAATGCTGTAAGTGGCAGCTCATCTCAGAACTTTTTATATGTGTTCAGTAATCTTTTGAAGTTTTGAATTGAAGAAAGAACAACAGTGGCAAGTATGGGGTAGTTTTCGGACTCATTGTCTTTGGAAGGTTGTGGTGAAGTGTATTTTTGTGACGGAACGATTAATATCTATAATGTGCAACTTATTAGAGAGAAGACCAGATGTAAAATGTTTTAATTCTTGTCTTAGTTCCAAAAGTTTTGTAAATAGTATTACAGTAGCCTGTGGAAGTTTTTTTAAAAAAATTAACAAGTCTTTATCACCTACTGAAACTAGTAAGATTACTTTGTACACTGACTTTTTTGTTAACTTGTAGAGACCATAACGTTATGCCTAACTTTATTAAAAGATCCCATCATGTCAAAACATTCGCCTATAAAAATCTTTCTTCTTTAAATTTCTTCCATCCTGTATCCAACCGAGTTCGATAACCTCTCAAATATGATTCATGACAAAGCTGGAAATCTTCGTTTATTTTCTACTCAGAATCACATTCAAAAATTTGAAAAACTAGCTTCCACGTCAACGACCAAACTCTTATCTACCAAACACTTTCGGACACGGAAAAATCAGTTCTTGCCGAAGGTTCCAACTTCATCCGAAACAAACTGTCATTTCAAGCAACTAATGGAATTCGATTTAAAACCGCAAAAATCCTTAAAAAATCAAAACCTCCTAAATCTAATTATTCTAAAGCCTGGATGCACATCGCAATCCAAAAGGCAGATAAAAGAAAAGCTGCGGTCGTCATGAACACAAATGAATATCAGGAGAAAGAAAGTTTAAGATATTCTTACAGAGGGATCATACCGCCAACTTAAAAAAGATCCCACATCATCTATGGAACCCAACCTTAAATCTGTTTTTAACGCTCTTCCTCTATCAGACTCCATGAAAAAACCTGTCATCCATCATGACTCTAAAATTCCTCGTCTTACCGACTCCCCAAGACACAACATATTTTCTAGCAAAATATCTTCTTCTTCTATATAAAAACCTTTTATAGGGAAACCTGATAGTTTCCTACTAGTTCGTACACTTTCACTTCATTGGAAAATTAAAAGGCATTAGATTAGATCCACAGGATATTCTGGTTAGTTTCGACGTAGAATCCCTTGTTATTATAGTCCCTATTTCTGAATTAAGAAATGTTTGTTCTGGAACATATTTTTCTTATAACTGTCAAATTTTTGAAGAAACTTCGGGAACAGCTATGGCTTCTCCATTATCACCGGTTCCCAACCACTTTACATTTTAAGAAGAAATCTCTAGACTCCTTCCGTCTAAAACCAAAATTATGGAAACGGTACGTTGACCCTGCTAGGTTAGTCATTTAAACTACACCCTAACATACGTAATTTCCCATTCTCGGATATTGTTATCAATAGAAAAATCAGACCTTACATTGGATCATTCTGTTTACAGAAAACCTACGCACACAGACCAAAAATTATTGGTTATCAACTCTCTTGTTTACAGAACCATAAAACTATCTCTCACTGTAAAACAGCTTACATCTGCTTTTCTCTGTAATAATTTCCACATTAGAGATATTAAGCGTTCCATGACAAAATACACATCACCACAACTTTCCCAAGATAATGACTATGAATACAATACCCCACACTTGCCAGTATTGTAATTCCTTACATTCAAAACATTACTGCCCGCATATCAAATGTTCTTAAGAAATATAACGTCAAATCCAGATTTAGCACTTGTAAAAAGATCTCTCAACATCTTCGAGCTTTCAAAGAAAAAATTCCGTTTGAGATGCCACACCACTCTATGCATATGCGGCGAGGAATACATTGAACACCGGACGAACTAAACTCAAAGAATACGAAGACAAATAAACTCATCAGCAGTTGCCAGACACAATCACAAAACCGGACATAAAATTTTATTTACTAAAACTAAAATTCTTGCATGTAGTCACTTTTTCTACCAACGAAAAATCCATAGAAATCTACAAGCAATATTAACCACGACTCAGGCCTTTACCTGTACCCAATAGGGGAATCAGACCTCCGAGGCGATGTCTATGCCTATCAGTCTCAGTTAAGCTAAGTTAAGCTCTGAGGAAGCCAACAGGACGATTGGCGAAACGCCAACAAGTCGACTCAACAGTAACCGACGGAGATGGAATCCAGAAATTTTGTAAATAATATTACTGTAGCGTGAGGAATTTTCTTTGTAAAATGAAAAGAGTCTCTTCATTTTTTATGCTAAAATGAAGCATTTTCGAAAAATTGTTAAGGCACATTCCAAAAGTAAGACTTCTTTAAAACTTTGAATTTTAGACACAAGATTCCGTGCCATATAGAGTTAATAACACTGTCTAATGAATAAAATGAAAACGCATCTATTTCTTACTTCTTTCACAGTGCATATATTCCGTCAACAGAAACTTCCTTAACCAAGTACTGCTCAACGGTGAGTTCCGTCTGAGACGATCATCGTTCAGAGTGTAAAACGTTTTAAATTTCAGCCGCGCAAGCGCACGGAAACGTGAAGCTATTTTTCAAACACAAAATGACCAAGGTCGATTTCGCATCCAGTACCATTACCATCACTAAGTAGGTAGCGTTTTGGTTAGCCTCAAAATTTGAAAATTATCCATTTAGTTTGGACACGGGCGAGATTAAAACCGAGTCGGCGGACTTGGTGGTAGGAGCCGATGGAGCTTTCAGTGTTTTGCGCCAACATATGCAGCTGACGCCCATGTTTGACATGTCGCAGGCTTATATCGAACACGGCTACATGGAACTATGCATTCCGACGGAGCGAGGGACCAACCTCAAACCGAATTGTTTACACATCTGGCCTAGGGGTGAGCGCATTTGCATCTTGTAGTAAATTCGTAAATCCCGTAATATTTTATAAAAGTAGATCGATAAACCGATACTCTGGGGTGGTGTATATCGTTTACGCTCAATAATCCCCCGGAATCGATATTGTTGCCAAAATTTGTTTTTCCCGTAACTTTGTCTAATGCGACACGATAAAGTTGCTGTTGGTTTGAAACTGGATGGTTGTCTGGTAATCGCGACTTGAGATACGAATTTTAGTAATTTGATAATCTGTTATTATTTTTAATTTGTTAAATTGTGATTTTTTCGTGACGGTCTTAGAAAAAGTATAGTATGTTTGGCAAACTCTTTATCTTCCTTGTTTTTCCAATCAATCAGAAGGCAGTATCTATCACCAATCTGAATCAGTATCTATTGGATTTTTTTATTTGTTTTTCTTTTTTAAATTATTAATCGAAATCGACTTTCAGCAGCGAGTTATTTAGCTGTTAAAGCATTTTGTTATTTATTTCAGACCCTTAAACATTTAATATGAAACTGGAAAAGTAAGTTAATTGATTTTTATTTGGAATTTTCAGGTTACGATTCATATGTTTTAATTTATAAATTCTTTGTAGGAATAAACTGACTTGCCAATTTTGTAAATTGGAATTTTCAGGTACATACATCAATTAAAAACTGACCACTCAGACCGATATATAATTTCTACATCTGAAGGATGCAAAAGAACTTGGCATATAATCTGTCCGATGTGCACAAACCAGACTTCCTTTCCATTATTCTTTTCAACTTGCAAGAGGTTGTGATGCTGCAATTAGGTATGACATTAATTTGGATTTGGATAGCTTGGATGCCAGTTTGGATGAACAGGCACATAACAACCAAAGGCTGAAATAAATTCTAAAAAAGAAAACTTTTATTTTTAGGTTTTCTATGTTTTTTATAAGACTTTTTATTAGCTTTAAAATAACAGTATACTTCCATCAGCATTTTATATTTATTTCTAAATTTTTAATAGTTATATAATATTAATATATAACACAAAAAGAGAGGGATAGAAGTGGTACAAATTTCCACCGAAAATTCTATGAAAAACTTTATAATAACTTAATGTTTATTAATAAAAAAAAATTACTAAATGATCAAAATCAGAAGTTCTCCAATAGTAATGTGGTAATTAGTACTGTGCCGATGCCCATAGACACGTCAGTTTAAATTTGACGTCCTGATCGGACCTAGCCACCGCGTTCTGATTGGTTGGCACTGTTAGAAAATCTGGTTATTTTAATAGAGGTTATTTTAACGGTTTTTCAGTAATAGTATATTATGCATCAAGTGTGGTACACGGTATTTGACTTAAAAAGCTTACCAAACGTGTTGCATACTATACTTTTTCTACGACCGTTAGTTTTTGGATACATTTTTGCAAAACGACACATTCAGTGACATGACCGTCAGAACTGACAAACGTCAAAATTGAAGCCGTACGAAAAAATCCGACTGCTCCCAAACCCGTGCGGTTATATTAGATATTTTTTCTACTCCCATCTGCAAAATGCTGTTTACCGCACTTGCTGCATAATATACCATAGTAAAATGAAAAAAGTATTTTCGTTAGCTGCAATAGTATTCTAGATCTAAGCCAGCTTTATGATAATTGATCAAATATTGAAAAAATTGTGCCTGCAGTGGACTTCGGCAGAAACTATTGTCCATCTAATTTGATTTTCTGCAGACCAGAATATTATCTATTTTCCAGGAACTCTTTTACAGTTTCATTCAGTTTCCTGACATACAGCGTCCATCAGAGTCCAAGCTTAGTTTTTTGAGAAAACCTAACATCTAAGAAAGCTGAATCTAATGTGTAAAATTTTGTTTAAATTACATAACATGTATCTCGTGCGATTAAAAGTTCTGTTCTCTCTTTGGATTTCAACTTCGTTGATTTGTTAGGATTTTTCTTTTGCAGTTGGGAGCAGTTTGAGGAAAACTGGCAGTCCGTATCTTCTTTGCTTACTCTCATAATCAGTTTGTACTAATCCTTAATAAGTTTCATGGAAGAGAAGAAAAAGACATTCTCTACCAAATTATCATTTTAGTGTTATTGAGTTATTCTAGCTACCATCGGGCATTATTATGTTGTTTAAAACCTTTTATGCGCTGTTTCACTTAATCGTAGCATATTACATTATGATATATATGATATGGAATTTATCATATAACATCTTTAGGAGAGTTTATGATGATCGCTCTGCCAAACCAGGATACCTCGTGGACCGTCACCTTGTTCATGCCATTCGAGAAATTCGAATCCGTCATCAGCGAAGACGATGTGCTGAGTTTCTTCGAAGCGAATTTTCCGGACTCTGTGTCAGCCATCGGGGAACGAGCTTTGGTGGACACCTTTCTGGGAAGCAAACCGTCATCGTTGGTGTCCATCAAGTGCAACAGGTACCACGCTGGCGATGGGTTTCTTATCGTCGGCGACGCTGCGCATGCGATGGTACCATTTTATGGGCAAGGTATGGTTGTGCGGCGCACTATGTTCAAAATCCCGTATATACTTGATGATAACCAGCTCTTGGAATGGTCCAGAATTACATTTATATTTTTAAAGTAGGCTGTGGAATGTTTGTTTTGTTTGGTAACCATAGGAATAACAAAAAGAATGAACGCTATTGACGTACGGTACGGTAATCATAAAGTCAGATTTTTGACACATGCGCTTTAAAAGTCAATATTTTTTTCGACTCCCGTCTGTAAAATACCTAATTACACGGGAAAACAACAAATGCTATAATGTGCATTTGTCCAAATCACCCGAGGCACCCCAGGCGACGAACACCCGAAAGCGGCCGACACATTTATCCAAATAAAGAGAGAGGTTAAAATACAAATGCAAACACGCCTCACATAGCATAGTACATAGGTTAATTATCTACATAGGTGGTTTCCACTATACAGTGTACTTACAAACAGAATAAAATTAACAGTTTACAAAATAAAGTAGAGGTTATATATATTATAGATAAAAAAAACTTACCACTTCTATTAAACATACTACAATGAAGGTGTAGGTAGGTATATCATTGGCACCTAAACGATTTTTATTTTACAATTTGACCTTTTAAAATAAGTATCTTTAAGTAATAAGCGCTGCTCTTTTCAAAAATTTTAATACAATTTCAATGTTTTTATAATTGTTATCCTGATAACTACTTAGGTAACTTTTACTTTTGGATTCTTGGATATGCTAGGTAGCTGTTCAATTTTTTGCATAATCCAAAGTGTTCTAATTTACAACCATATTCTCAAAATAGTCGCAGCTGAAGTATTGGATAAAAATATTGATAAATCATATTGCTTATTGAATAAATTTAAAAATCATCAATAATTTTAGCTCTGAGAAAAATGGGCCACACGTTTTTAATAACCTTTTATGATTTATTTAGGAGGTACCTAAATACAATTTTACTATGACCGCAATTATTTATTTAAAATAGTTGAGAACCTTTAAACAAACACATTTATGATAGGTTTGGCTCTTTGATTAATTAAAATGCCACTGAATCTTTTAAGCTGAGTCACTGTAAATATTAACAGATGTATAAGGTTGTTCGGAAAGTCATTTCGTTTTTTCCCGTCAGAGGACTTAATTACGTTTTTTCGAAACCAACTTCACACTTAAGCCGCATAACCATTATATGTCTTGAGAGCTGATATTGCAAGGCTTGTGTGTGAAAAAGTTCTATTAATTCTACGCAGTAGTTTTTGGTTGGTGCCCTTTTAAATATGGAGAGCAATAAGCAGCATTTTCGTCATATTTTACTTTTTTACTTCAGAAAAGGTAAAAATGCTGTCCAAGCGAGAAAAAAATTGACGGATGTGTATGGAGAAGGCGTGTTAACAGTACGCCAGTGCCAGAACTGGTTTGCAAAATTTCGATCCGACAATTTTGATGTCGAAGATGCACCACGGTCTGGAAGGCCGGTCGAAGCTGACAAAGATGCGATAAACGCATTAGTTGATGCAAATCGGCGAATTAGCACACGAGAGATCGGTGAGAGATTAAATTTGTCGAATCCGACTGTTTATGGCCATTTGAAAGGCATGGGCTTAACCTCGAATCTCGATGTGTGGGTGCCCCATGTCCTTACGGAGTGAAATTTGTGTCGTCGCGTTGACGTGTGTGATTCGCTCCTCAAACGTCAAGAAAATGATCCATTTTTGAAGCGGATTATTACTGGGGACGAAAAATGGGTTGTATACAACAATGTTAAACGCAAGAGGTCATGGAGCAGAAAAGATGAACCGGCTCAAAGCGTGTCAAAAGCCAACATTCACCAAAAAAAGGTGATGCTCTCCGTTTGGTGAGATGTCAAAGGAATCGTTTTTTTTTTTGAGCTTTTGCCGGACAATACAACGATTAATTCAGAAGTCTATTGTCATCAACTGGACAAATTGAATGATTCACTTAAAGAGAAGAGGCCCGAATTAATCAACAGGAAGGGTAGTGTTCCACCAGGATAATGCGAGACCTCACACAAGTTTGGTCACTCGCCAAAAACTTTTACAACTTGAATGGGACGTACTGCAGCATCCACCATATTCTCCAGATCTGGCGCCTTCCGACTACTATTCGTTCTGGTCCCTGCAAAATTTTTTGGATGGCAAAACCTTTACCTCAAATGAAGATGTCAAAAACCACCTACCTGAACCAGTTTTTTGCCAGCAAGGACCAAAACTTTTATGAGAGGGGAATTATGTTACTGCCAGAAAGATGGCAAAAGGTGTTGGACCAGAATGGCCAATATATAATTTAATAAAATATTTATTTATTATACGAAAACTGTCTTTCATGTTCCCGAAAAAAAAACGAAATGACTTTCCGACCAACCCAATATTTTAAAAACATTGTAATGTAAACAAATCATAATTATTCTCTATCGAGACAAATTCTTTGTCCGCGGAAACCCTTTGCCGGCCTCCCTCCCGCGCTGCCCCGAACGCCCCAATACAATTTGGACGGCCGATCTATCCGTTTCCCACGGATCCGAGCCACTTCGGACGTTTCCGAGATTTTACCGCACGGGCTTCGGAGCAATCGGATGTTTTCGGAGATATTTCCCACGCCTTGAATTTTGACGTTTGTCAGTTTTGATGGTCATGTCAGTGAATGTATTCGTATTGTTTTGCGAAAATGTACCCAAAAACTAACGGTCGTAGAAAAAGTATGAGTGAGTCAAATGCCGTTTACCGCACTTGTTGCATTATAAACTATTACTGTGTTCTGGAGACTTTTTCCCAGCGGTGTTTTACATTTGTGTTTTATAGCTCAATTTGATATAAACAAAGAAACTTTTAAATGGCTTTTTTTTTCAACAAATTGAAGATTTTCAGTATGGAGCGACAAAGTTTGACAAAATTTTATACTCATTTTGTTATACAATATTGGGTTTACTTTGCTGTTCTGTCCAGCTTCTGGTTCCCTCACTGGCAGTGAATGGAGCGGATATTTTCATAAGTTACTTATTTCACTTTTACGCTTTAAAAGGACAGAGCTCTACAAACGGTAAAAATTGCCGCAATCGGCATTTATATTTTTGTAGGTAATGATTTTCCGCGCACGCCTCTAAACTCTTTTTCCCGGAACATTCGACGAGATCATATTGACCATGTCGGCTGTTGAATGTCGCAAGGTTATAGTTTAAAAACGTAATTTTTTCTAAATTTTGTTTTCATAAGGTCCTGTATTATCATAATATGCAGGGCCACTGTATCTCCAATAGATATATGTCTTCGACGCAGATCGGCAGCGCCATGCGCAGCACAGAAGGCATGTGTAACTGGTGGCCTAACCACTTGGTATTAAATAGACCGATGACTAAATAAAATAAATGCCCAACAGCAAGGCGAAAATGTCTTAAACAAACAATTTCGAATTCCACTTTGAGCTACTGTAATTATTTTAGAAAATAATGGTCGCCTTTCTAGAGAAGACACGTTTCGGTTTATTCAGTCCAAAATATACTAATCAAGTGCTACGCGTCCCCTAGCATTGCATAACGCTTTTTTGTTTCTTAAAGCGGAAACTCAAATTGAAAGTACGTCGCATGACTGTGAAAAATGTATTGTAAATGAAATTCAAACATTTAGGATAACAAATAGGATTTAGTTGAAAAACTTGAAAAAATAATTTTTATTTAGTAGTTTGACTAGAAAAAAAGAAAAATTTGACCTATAATATCTAGTAAAGTTTGTTTTGGGTGCAGAGGCTAGTTACAGATCCGTAGCAACTAACTAACCAAACGTGTTGCATACTATACTTTTTCTACGACCGCTTTGGACATATTTTTGTTAAACAACACGAATACATTCACTGATATGACCGTCAGAATTGACAAATGTTAAAATTCAAATGGTGCGGTAAAATCTCCGAAAACTTCTGATGGCTCCCAAACCTGTGCGGTAATATCCCGGAAATGTCCGAAGAGGCTCGGAACCGTGGGACAAAAAAAGACTGGTTCCGCAGGCTAGTTCGATGTATAATTAGGTAGTTTACAGAAGGGAGTAGAAAAAATCTAGTTACTCAGCACATGATAGTTGATTTAAAATTAACAAAACATATGCAATGCAGAAGGGTACAGAAAGAAATATGAGTCTCTATCCCCATTCTATTTGGTGCTTCAATCGTAGGTTAAATGTTATCCCCATGAGAGACTTGTCTTCGAAAATGCAGCTGAAATTATGGTGCAAAAATTATTATATCATTTTAGAGCACAAAGCTTAAATTTCTCCTTCAGGGATACAACTATAGTGTAAACATTCCTTAGATGTAATATATAATCAAAATGTTTCCACTAAAAATGTTAATATCAGTGTCGCAAACATTCTTTTAAGTCCTTTGGTACCTTTGAAACCGCCCTGCAAAAAAAGATTACTACCAAACGATGGTCGTCTGGCAAAATCCAAAGTGCCCATCAAAAAGATTTTGTAGGCCCGTTCGTTTTAGATTTTGTAAAGAAACATCCGAAGTTGCTAGATCAGACGTTGAACATATAGAAGCACAGATAGAAAATCTATCACCAACAAAATTATTCAAATCTTCTGGCCATCAAATTCATGTACAATGGCGGATGGAAATTTTGCCTTTGAAGTATGTTGTATGAAGATGAAATGAAGAAAAAAGTGCATTCGATGAAAGAAAAAAAATTATTCTCGTTCGGTTGATGAAAATAAGGCTCAAAACACCTCTAGCAGTTGTTTTGAGAACTGCCCAAAAGCAATCGAAATCAATGGGTTTGAAAAGCACTTAATCGTGGTTTTCTTATTATTCTCCAAGCTTTATCCAGTGACTATTATGTTGAAGTTGATCAGTTTAGAAATTATATATTGGAGTCTACAAAACTGTTTGTAAGACTTTAACCATGTTGCTGATGATATAGAATCGTTACTTCTACCCATTGATCAGCTGTCTCAGGATGTTCAAGAGTATTTGCTTAAAGAATACAGGCATTATCGA